CTGCCTCGAGGGTGCTTGACCATTTTAACACAACGTGGTGCGATCATCCCCCTTTGCGCGAAGTGAGGGTTCTCGACCCCGCACAAGATGATCTACTCGACAACCATTCATGGTTACCGCAACAAAAAAAAACAGAGGTCAAAAGAACGGTAACCTGGTTGCCGAGTTCACGAAGTGAATTGGGTTGTTTTACAACGTCGTTGCCAAGGGACGAAAGCCCAACCCCGATGGCAAACACCGATGGGAGGGCTTGTTTTATAACGCCGTTGCCAAGCGACAACCCAACCCCATGGCAAACACCGGGGGGGGCCAAGGATACGGGGGGAGGGGGGTTAACCGGTAGGTGACAGTTACCACAGCTCTCACACCAGCGCACAGCAGGTGTAGTATCAAGTGTGTGGTGTTTGCACTCTGTTCCCGCCCGTGGACGCACACGTCTGACGACAGTTACATCGATCAGTTGTCGCTCGTTGTAGCGACAGGTAGTTTATCTCGCTGGACAACCAAGCCCTTGTCGGCCGAAGACACCGAACTCGAACTAACCGCTAGTGGCTGTTGACATTCGTGCGTCGACACAAACCTTTTTCCTGGCGCATTCGGCACCTCACGGGGCCAAACCTCGGCCTGGCCCAACAGCCCATGGCATCAACCCCTTCCGGACACCATTGATGAAGAACCTCGTGTAGTTTTCGTCGAGATATCAACGAACACGCTGTTTAGCAGCGGGGGTCTACGTGTGTCGCAGGGGAAGGTGGTTGACGTTGATTGACGGAATCAATGCCGCAAAACTATTGTCACGAGAAACGATCGCGCAAACGTTCCAGATCGCACAATTTTGTCGAAAGCAAAATCTTGCTATCAATGTTTGACGCGACGTTTTCTCCCCATGCAGGGCGTATATGAGAAATACTGCGAGGAAAGTTTGCAAGTTTGAACATTTCGTTGAAGATTTTGCGGCCTTAAACACAGTGTCAGGGCCATTGGACCACTGTTTGTTTGCGGTGGCGTCTGTCTGCTCAAGAACCAATCGCGGAACGGGGGCTGAGCGTGTTGTACTGTATGCCTCCTCTCTCCTCCCCAAGCGTCCATCTTTCTTGCTCGCAGGGTCCGGGGGCGTCTCAAAGTTGTGGTCGAAATGATCTTCAGGTCGAAGAACCTGAATCCAGGCAGCATCTCGTCGAAAGCAGATGCCGACAAGCTGTTTCGGCCGTACCTTTCGGTATCCATCCAGGAATCGTCCGCGGCTGGACCAGCTGCTGAAGGGGCCGCCACGGGAGCAGCTGTCGGAGGGGCCGGATCAGCAGGAGAGGCTTCTGGATAGAAGCTGTGCCTGTTCAAAACCCCCCGTGCGCAGAGAAAGTGAACGCAGGTGGGAGGCCGCAAGGTGGCACCATCGACCGACTTTGTCTCTTTGGAGGCGAGTTGCTGTGGTTTGGTTTGCCGTGTGTCTAGCTTTCGGTTGCGTTTAACGCCAACAGAAGGCAACGGGCCGCCTCTCTGTGTACGGTGTCTGCGTCGCGGACTTGGCATGTTTTTAATTTGGTTTCGGTTTTCCCTGTAATGAGAGATGACGACTCTTGCTGCATTTTTGGTTTTTGTCGTGGGGGCACGGACTTTTGTACGCTTACGGCTGATCATGTAATTTTCGACATCACCTCGGTGTGTTTGTTTCTTATCATTATCACATGTGCACAACACGGAGGTCGTCGACGCTGCAGGGTGGGCGGTGCGAGTCGAATGGTAGGGTACTCTGCGCGTAAAAACAGACAGTCTTGTTCCTTTGTTGCTGTGGACTTATCATGTGTCTTCAAATATGTTTCGTATTTTTGCCGGTGACTGCAGACCGTGCTGTGTTTTTTTTGTTGTCGCGGTGGGGAGGTTACGTAAACTCACGGGTGATCATGTGTTTGTCGAGAGAGGCTCAAGGGTGGGTCTGTATCCTGTTCATGTGTATGATACTGTGAGCTCGTCGACTTTGCACGGCGGACGGTGCCCGTCGAATGGCACAGGGTTCGGTACCGTTTTTGTTGTGATGATTTGTCTTTGGTTTTACATCTGTCGTAGGGTGGTGACTCTTTTGCTGTGGTGTTGGTAGTCGTGGCTGACGAAGGACGTGCGCGAAGCCGCGGACTTTCCTCGCCAATGACTTTCTGTGGTTTGTTGCGAGTACACGTCTTATCCGCGTGTTCGTTGTTATCGTATCCGATTCATGCGTATGCACTTGTAAAATGCTGAGTTCCTCGAGGACGGTACAGACTGCGCGTAGATGTAGACAGGGGTGTGTCTCTTCTTGCGCCCCTGCGTGCTGGGGCGTTCGTCGCGTTGTGGTCTGTGGGTGTTCAATTGTGTTGGCTATATTTTTGCTTGTCGTATGCATACGATGGAGAGAGTGAGAAAGGGGGTTGTGGTGATATCTCGGCGGTGCGTTTTGTGGCATACTGTCTCTGTGTAGCTTTCTGACGTGCGCACCGCCTCCACTAAGACGAAACCATTCTCTTGTGAATGCGTGGCGCTTCGTGTTGTAGCGTGTCATGTGGAAAGGGTGATGACACTCGTGTGGTACGTTTTGTTTGTCGTGGGTGGAGTTGTTCGTGTCCTCCGCTGCGGACTCCATTGTACTTGCTGGTATGTTACTTTCACTGCATGAGCTGCTGCCTTTGTGCAGGTATACAGCAGCTTTGTGCCCCGCCAGCTGCTTGTTCCATGCCTACCATGGTGTTTTTGTACAGACAGCACTTCAGACAGCATTATGCTGTAGTCGGCAATCTTCCGTTTTGGTATAGAGTGGGACAGGGAGGGGGTGATGCTACTGTAGTCGAACGGTGGGACGGACGTGCAGTTCAGTTTTTGGGCACGCATACGGTGCTGCAGGGATTTTTAGGTGTAACTCTTCGGGCTCTTGCATACCTTTTTCTCGTCAGATGTGTGCGTGTTCTTTAGATCCTCAGATGGCTCTAGCACTTTCGTGACCACGGGCTGAGAGTCTTTTGCTAGATTTTGGCATTTAGCAACTGACATACGGTTTAATGTGAAGACAAACAACAAACAACAAAAACAACTTCCGCGCGGTGCCTTGTGTTGGTCTAGGGAGGCACATTCTTACACCTAGAGAAATCGCTGTCGCTGTTTTGAGGATTTGCAGGACAACGAAGAACTCTGTATCCATCTCATAATCCTCGACCACGACGGCTATGAGGGGGGTGGGAGGTGTGCGGCCTTAACGAACGTGACCGCCTTACTATCTCGGACGTTTCCCGACCCCGCCAGTCGAAGTGCTCAGTATAGCACCTTGGCAACCTCATGCTCACGAACGAGCCTTGCCAATCCCACGTTCGCGAACGTGCCTTGCCAATCCCACCTCCGCCAACGAGCTTGGCAATCCCACTTTCGGGAATTAGCCTTGCCAATCCCACGCTCGCGAATGAGCATGGCAATCGCAAGCTCGCGAACTACCAATTGCCAATCACACGTTCGCAAACGAGCCTTGCCAATCACACGCTCGCGAACTACCCTGGCAAGCACATCGTAGGCAACGAGCCTTGACAATCCCACGTTGGCGAACTAGCCTTGCCGATCCCACGCTCGCGAACCACCCTTGCCAATCCCATGTTCGCGATCGAGCCTGTGAATCACATCGCAGGAAACGAGTTTTTTCTGCATGAGGTTTGCCGAGGTTGGTAATGGATAGAGGTTGGACAATCCAGTGGACTCTTCAGGGGCTCGACCTTGCCGATGAGCCCCCCTCCCCCCTTTCCAGGAGCGTTCCTAAGGAGGTTCGACCCCCACGTTGTTGTTGTTGTTGTTGTTTCTCACATTAGCTCTAAAAAAAAAAAAGTGGTCTCAAAACCCGGCATACACGACCCCACGAAGAAACAGAAAAAAATAGGGTACAAAAACCACTCGGAAGAGAAACAAAATGATAGAAAGAAAGACCAGCTACCGCACCAAACGAGAAAGAGCGTCGAGGAGACCGATCAAAATAAAATAAAAGGAGAACGGGGAACGCTTCCCACACCCGCCTACAACGCCGGAGGGTTCCGTGCCGGGTTCCCGCCGACCAGGCATCCCCCGCCCTGCACCACACCCCAGGGGGTGCAGCAAGACGGGGGGCGAAAAACAAA